AATCCAACTCCTACCGATATCGTTTAACCATTTCTTCTAGTTGTCGTTGTCGGAGGTTCTTCTCCTTAGCTTGCCTCGCTGCTGCCTCCTCTTGTTCCTTCATGGATTGTCGTTGGACCTCCCTTGCCCTCCTAGCTGCTAATCTCCTTCCTCGAATGACCTCCTCGTTATCAATCATAACATGATGATGATTATGTTCCCGAGAAAGTATATCCTCTTCCCGTATAGCCTTCTTCTTCTTCATCCTCTCCCTGGTTCGTTGTCTAAGATGAGTGACCCTAGCCTTATTCGCAGCAAGCCTTGCCTGAGCCTGGCGTTGGTGAGCCTCTCTCTGGGCAACCTCGTCCTCCCTAGCTTGCCGAGCTCTCTCTGTCACCCTTCGAGCAGCAGCATGCTGTTCCCTCACAGCCTTCTCATCATTCATAGCCTTCCGCCTACGACCCTCTTCTGCTGCAATCCTTTCACTCCTCACACGAGCCCTTCGTTCCCTGCCTACATTCCGAAGCGTTTCCGCTACCCTACACTGTAGTTGCAATATTTTCCTCTCTTCCCTTTCAGAATCCTCCTTCACCACTTCCGCCGCCGTTGTGTTCCGTTCCTCATGATATTTAGCTCTGATCCTCGCTCGAGCTGCATGTACTCCCTTCTTGTCTGGAGACGGCTTTAGAGCACCCCTGTCTGCCTCCAATTGACCTTCTAATTTCTCTATGTTCATTCGCATCCTTTCAACTTGAGCCCAGTCATAGCCTCGTATCCTGGAGTTATTATTATTGTGTTTCGTCCCTTCCCTCATCATAGTCCTCTTCTTCTCTTTCATCCGTCTAGTTAATTCATCAAGTACATCGAGAGCATGGTGATAGGCTTCACTATTGTCTTTCCCAGTGCCCCGGCTACCATGCCCTCGACCAAGTGTTTTCTTCTCTGGCATGGTACCTCGAGTCGCCAGTTTGTCGTCGTTAGCTGCCTTGGAAGAATTAAGTTGTTCAAGTTCAGCAACAGTAGGGGAAACTGGGCGTTGCAATAACTGCTGTGCTCTAGCCAGGGTATCGGCGACAACAAGAGTTGTTGCCTCGGCCTTCATTTCATACAATGATGCGATCGGATGAAGTGACAAGATCGGCTGATTGAGTTAGCAGTACTCAGGGCCCTCCCAATTTAATACAATACTACAACACGCAAGTCCATAGGCCGGATATCCTATCAGAACAGCATTAATCTGATCTGGTGTAAAATGAACACTACACATGTATAACAAATCTGATGGTATAATAGATAGTAATCAAGTATCTTCCTTTAGTGAGCGTCGTCAAGCAGATCCCAATTCAATGCTACTGTCTCGGCGAATTGGATAGCGGTCTCAGAGACCCACTTGAACCCCGATTTCCAAGGTAGCCAGCCCTGAGGCCAACCTACATGCCCACCGTTATCTGTTATCAATGAGAATAGATACTTAGATGCTGTTGGCGGTAACACAGCTCCAGCCTCAACATGAATGATAGGATCATCACGGGAATGTATCAAGAGGGTTGGTATGGCGATATTCGCGCCACCATTGCTGTATTTCTCACTACAGGCACTCATATCATGATAATAATCAATAACATCATCATAACCATGGACAGCAGCAGGGATCAATGTATCGAGCTCATATAGATCAGTAGGCCTATCATACCACTTAGGATCGGATGGGGAAAAGCCTGTTCTGTTGACCATTGGGCCATGGACTCTCTGCTTAACCTCGAATGCTAACATGGGTTGCCACAACTCTCTAGATACTGGATTATCGACTCTCCGCCATAGACTGATGCCACCTGATATCGATACACAGGAGTGTAACCGTCCTCGGAGCTCCCAACCATATTTAGCAACCATATTGGCAGCAATGATCCCACCCATACTGTAACCAATGAGGGACAGTGGGATTCTCCCTA